TTAGTACATTATGGTCCATTTAGAGTCAAACAGACCATAAAGCAGGGTAGGGGCGGGGCTACACAGTGATTGACAGGTCTCTACCACGGCATTGTCCATGTTTTCGTCTTTTTAACTTGAACTATTTCACAGTGTGTTTTTTTACTTCATCAAAGATAATTGTAACATTTTGGTCGCTTAAAAAACGTCTTCATTCGATTGTACTAAGCTCCGCCCTCTTGTGTCACTAATGGTTGCAAATAACCAAGATGGCCGACTCAAACTTGAGAACGGGTGACGTCCCGGTGACTACGTCTACTTCTTCTATACAGTCTGTTGTCACTAACTAACCGCATACTGATGTGACTGGACCCTTTATTCTTGATGTTATTATTTGTCAGTGTGTTTTAGTGGATATGTTTAGTGTCTTAAATTCTCTCAGAACTGTTTATTACATTGAGAGAAACCCTGAATTGAAACTGAAGCACCGTTGACGATCAGTCACATGCTAACGTAGCGTTAGCTACAGAGGTTCTACCTCTATGTGGCCGTAGATATTGTGAATGTGCTGCTCACGAGGCTGTAGTCTCAAATAAAACTACAATATCTTCACCCTTCAAGTCTAAATAATCAAATCTTTGCTCTCTTTATTTGAAGACATTCAGCTCTGGATGCTACGTCGCCTTTTTCCTCCTCATCTTACTTCATTCTTTTCTTTTCATTTAACAAGAATTCATGAAAGTAATCATTTTAAAATGGCTATAAATATTAAAATATTGTCTTTAAAATGGTCCTGAATGGCCAGAAGTAGTCTGTCAATCACACAGACAACCATCATATTGTTATTTTAATCTTGTTTTTGCAGTTATGACCAGTCAAATACATCAGTGTTAACTTTCCTGAATCGGAAAGTAATAACTTAGTTTAGCTAATTAAATACTAGCGGGCACACAATTCAATTATTTTTCTGACTTTGGTTGCTTACATTTCTTTTCATATCAGAGCCCTTTAAATTTTAACATGACTTATAACTTGTCTTTTGCTCGTCTCTGTCTTCACAGCCATTTTGCATCAGTAATAATCAGATTTGTTTAGTTAAATAGGGAACAAAATGGTGTGACGTAACCCAAACATACTTTTTCCAGCTCCCTTCTCTTCCTGCTAACCATCTGAAAACTAAAAACGCTTAAAAACTCTAAATCTGTGCTTCGTAAGGCTGGGCAGTGCTAACAGGCTATGGCTAAAAAAAGGCTAAGGCTAGCCACCAGACTGCCAAAAAAGGCAAATAGTTAGCCAGCTATGGCTAGCTGACTGATTTAAAAAGTTTGTAAATTGGTAGCAAAGTGACACCTTAACACAAACAAATAAACTGTCTAACAACTAACCAGTGGTTATTAGCCAGCTAACAGTTAGCCAGCTGACAGGCACTAAGCTAGCATGGTAGCAAAGGCTAGCTACACACTGTAAAAACAACAGCTAGCTAAGAAAGTTAGCCAGCTAACAGGTTGATGGTTCAGTTGGGATTGTGCCCCACCTCTGTTCCCCTAAACTGAAACGTAACAATGATTTCATAGTGATATGAGACAAAGATTAGCATGCTAATCTTTGCGTTTTTTGCAGCGGTTACTTAAGTATTACAAGGATATATCCGACATGTTTGTCAGCAGATAAAACCTTGTAAGACTAAGATTATATAAGAAAGTTGATTTGGTGTCGATTTGTCAGCTTGCACAAAAAAAAAAATTCTGTGGTAAAAACATAAAAAAGAAGCTTTGTTCCCTCCGTCAGCACCATGTTTGTTGACGTGTTTTTGAGTGTTTGGAGCTACAGAGTGGAGTGAGCTGATTGTCTGAGCAGCCTCACAATCATTTAAAAACCTGCGTGGTCACTTCCTGTCTCGCTGCTCTTGTTTTTTCTGAGAATTTGAGGAGGCTGAACGCGTCCCACTTTGTCAATAAAGTTTTCCTTCAGCTCGGCTTTACATCCCAGCCGTGGAACACCCCGACGCTAAGTTTTCCACGTTCGTGTCCTGAACGCACCCCCCCCAACAACAACGATGCCGCCGCGAAGACCAGCGTGAAACAAACAAAGCGCTCCTTTAAAACCTGACAAACCAGGTTTTATTCCAGCTGGTTTGCTCACAGCTTTCACCAACTCCCACCACAGCGATCGTGGAGGGGGGAGGGGGGGTGCGGTCACTCTCAGCTGACCAGTTTGGGCAGCACCGTCCTGGGCTGGATGTTTCCGTTGGCGTCGGTGATCGCTGCCAAGTTAGTCCTGGTTTTGGAGGAGGAGGACATGGTGGTTGAGGAAGAGGTGGCGAGCTTGGATATGGAGGTGACGGCGCTGTCGGTGGTGGCGCGTTTGGAGGAGGATGAGGAGGTCTTTTCCACTGCGGTGGTGCCCGTCGGCGGCTTGGGGAGTCGCCTCCTCAGCCACGGGTGGCGCAGCGCCTGGCTGGGCGTCATCCTGAGCGTCGGGTCCCACTCCAGACACTGCTTGAGGAAGTCCAAGAACAGTGAGTCGTCGCCACCCTTCAGCGCCACGCTCCAGTCCTTGCTGCCCGGCGCGCCGCGTACCTTCCCGCGCCGCGAGCGACCGGCGTTCAGCACGGTGGTGCCGTCGGGCAGCGTGGTGACGGTGCAGTACCGCGGGTAGCCTTTAGACGACACAAAGTTCTTGGCTCTCTTGGAAGCGTCCAGGAGCTTCTGGCCGGGCATGCCCACCAGCTCGATGATGCACGCCAGCTGGTCGGCTTCGTCTTCGCCCGGCAACAGCGGGTAACCGGTCAGCAGCTCGGCCAGGATGCAGCCCAGAGACCACATGTCGATGGGCATCCCGTACCTGGAGCCTGGAGGCCAACGATTGAACAGTTAATATCTGGATTTATCAAAAATGATGCTAATTAATACTTAACATTCCCACCGATCATTTCTCAATCAGTTTTAACTAAGTCACTGTGAAATACTTGGTTAAGTTTAAGAAAAGATCGTGAAATACTTGGTTAAGTTCAGGAAAAGATCGTGAAATACTTAGGTTTAGGAAAAGATCGTGAAATACTTGGTTAGGTTCAGGAAAAGATCGTGAAATACTTGGTTAGGCTTAGGAAAAGATCGTGAAATACTTGGTTAGGCTTAGGAAAAGATCGTGAAATACTTAGTTAGGTTTAGGAAAACATGGTGGTTTGGGTTAAAATAACTACTGAAGCGCTGTAACAACATTGCACAAGTTACGTGAAAAATAAATCAGCGTTGACTTCTCGTTTCACATGGAGAACGAACAACGTTCTGGCTTAAAGATCACTGCTTTTTAAGTGTATGACATACAGAATATACAGAATATCGACGGATTAGAATATTACATTATCTTTCGTTGTTTTAGCTGTGAATGCTGGAGAACATCCTGGTAAACTTACCTAGAATGACCTCTGGCGCTCTGTAGAACCTGGACTGGATGTAGGTGTAAACTCTCTGATGTTCATAACAGCTGGAACCAAAATCTATGACCTGGAGACAGAAAGGATTGTTTTAACAGATGGATTATAATAGACACAAAGAGGTAAAAACCACCATTTCTCCGTCCCACCTTGATGCCGCTGCGTCCCTGCTGCTTCAGCAGGATGTTCTCCGGCTTCAGGTCGCAGTGGATGATGCGGTTCTTGTGCAGCGAGTCCAGACACTGCAGGATGGAGTGGGCGAACTTCCTGACCAGCGGGAGGCTGAAGCCCTGGAACTTGTTCTTCTTGATGAGCTCGTACAGGTTCATGCTGAGCAGCTCGAAGGTCATGCAGATGTGGTTGCGGAAGGTGAAGTTCTCCAGCATGTGGATCACGTTCATGCTGGAGTCCTTGTCCTGCTTCCTCAGGTGCTCCAGGATGCGAATCTCCTCCGCCGCCTGCCGGTGGAAGCGCTTCTCGTTGCGGACCATCTTCAGGGCCACGTGGGTCTGAGACCGGTGGTCGAAGGCCTTCACCACCTGAGGACGAGGAACACGGCCATCGGCCATTCAACACATGGTACAGAATAAACTATTAATCTAATGCTGTGGTCAATTCTACAGATGATGGTATTCAGATGGGAGGAGGACCAACAGAGGAGGAGAAGTGCAGGAGGGGGAGGAGAGGAGGACCAAAAGAAGAGGAGGAGGATAATCAGTAAAGGAGAAGAGGAGGACAGACAGGATAGGAGAGAAGAGCATAGGAGGAGAGGAAAATTAAGAGAAGACAGAAGAAGAGGACCATCAGAGGAGAGTAGTAGTACTACTAGTACACCAGTAGTAGTACATCACTAGTAGTACTACCAGTAGTAGTACTGTTACTACCTGTCCGAAGCTGCCCTTGCCGATGACTTTAAGGACTTCGTAGCGGTAGGAGATGTGGTCGTGAGGAATGTGGATGTAGGATCCCTGATCGTCGTCGTAGCCGCCGTTGTTGGCTCCGCCCATGACCCCCGACCTCTTCTTAGCATTCGGACCCACGAAATACACTGAAGGGGAGAAGAAGAAGAGCGCGATGACTCACTGATCACATTACTGATTGGTTATCTGTTGGGAGGTTCAGAGCCGCTCACCTTCCGGGTAGCTGAACACCTCGTGGTGCTCCAGAGACGACATCTTGGACATGAACTGCTTCATGGCCTGCTCCGGGGACAGGAAGGATGGCTTCGGCTTCACCTCCGTCGACTTGGTGGAGGAGGCGCTGCCCTGCCGGCAGTGGTGGGGGGGCTCCGGGGCCGGGGGGGGCTGCTGCCTGTCTGTCTGCCTGTCCGGCAGAGGGAGGCCCGGCCTGGTGGACCCCAGAGGAGCCAGACCGTTGGGCTGGGAGGTCAGAACGGGACGCTTGTTGGTGTTCTCCTCGTACAGATGAGAGGCCGACTGGACGGACTCAGACATGCTGGCTTTAGAGCCTCCCTGAGGAGGAGAGGAGGAGAGTGGTTAGAGGAGGAGGAGGAGGAGGAGGCGAGTGGTTAGAGGAGGAGAGTGGTTAGAGGAGGAGGAGGAGGAGAGTGGTTAGAGGAGGAGGAGGAGAGACATCAAGAGGAGGAGGAGAGGAGAGTGGTTAGAGGAGGAGGAGAGGACCAACAGAAGAAAGGAGAGGAGGAGGAAGGAGACACATCAGGCAAAGAGATGTGAAATTCAAACCTGAAGAACAAACTATGAACGGTTTGGTGAACGATGTTCCTGAACACAACACCAGAGCCTCTCTGATGATTAATAAATAAACAATGTGTCACCTGGTTCAATCTAACCAACAATAACAACAATAGAGACAGAGAGACAGCTGTCTCTCTGTCTCATTGTGTCATCTCTCAGTGAGTCAGTCCCTGTTGCTGTGGTGACCAGCACACCTGGGTCCTTTCAGATAACAAGAGGCGCACACACACACACACACACACACACGGTCTTTGAACTGGGCGGCTGTGTGTGTGTGTGTGTAATCTGGTCAGTGAGGATTAATGTGTCAAAACAAGGAAGTGAGTCAAGAGATAAAATTCAAACACACACACACACTACTCTGACTGTTTGTGTTGTCAGTAGTCAAAGTGACATATGAGAGCAAAATATTGACTCCTCCCTCACCTGACAACACCTTATCTCTCACACACACACACACACACACACACACACACATTTTAGATTATTGTTGATCAATCTACCAATAATAAAATATTTGAATATAAAATAATATAGAATAATATCAAAAATATAAATAGATATTGTGTAATAAAAGACAAAATGAATGAATACATACAAATATTTTTTTTTAAAGTTTAAATCTGAATCGGATGAATCAAAACTTCCTTTTGCACTTCTAATTGCATCTTTTATCCAAAAAATATATTCAGTTTAAAGTTTGAACAAACAGGAAAGCAGCAAATATTTTTGTTATTATTTAAGATTTATTAAAATAATTTATCATGATTATTATTAAATTGTTTTCTGTTGCTCAGTTGCTTCAGCTGTGAAACTGACAAACAGTCCTTTTATGATCATTTATTGATCGTATTGATTCATCATGAAGTCAAACAAACACAAACAGGACTAAATGCACTAAATGTACTAAATATTTGATCTGATGGATTGATCACATTGTGCTTTCTCTTTACAGTAATTAATCATAAAATAACTGATAAAGAAGATATAATAAATAAATAAATAACATCTTACGGGAAAAAAGCCTGCTAATGCTAACAGTCACTCTGGAGTTAATGGAGTAAACAAATGCTGCATCAGTTCCTTTAAACCATTAGTCCGCTGTGTGTGTGTGTGTGTGTCCGTCCTTCACGCCACCCTATAAACCAATCAGCTGTTTAAAGCCTCCCGGAGCAGAGGGCTATTATTAGCCGCGTGGCTACAGCCGACTGTTCCTGCTGCTCAGGCTCACATACAGGAGTTTCACGGCGCTAACGGCATGCTAACACGCTAACGGCAGAACAAAAAAAAACAAAACGGCCTTAAATCAGCGGAGCAGACGGCGGTGAAATGTCTCCAGATGCCGAGTTTGAAATATGAAGGAGCTACGTGGAGCTCGGCTTCCCTGAAAGCTGTATTCATACGTGTATTTAAACCTGTATTTATACGTGTATATTTTGCTGAAGGGAGACACGGGAGAACCAGGACTGAGAGGGGCAGACTGTCAGACCCTGCTGCAGTAGAATGAGAGCTTTTCTAAAGGGAATCTGGTGCTCAGAGACACTACCACTTTAGTCCACAGGGGGCGACACAATCAACACAAGATGAAAGTTCTTTGTCGTAGCTTTAAGCTAAAATTTGTCGTTGGATCCTTTGTAGTTTGGGGACGTTCGTACCGTCAGGACGTTGTGGTTGTTGTTACGAAGTCGCGGCAGCGCGACAGGCGACGTCGTCTCAGAGCCACCGTGACCCGGAGAGAAGACCCGCTCGCCCGCTTTGCCTGGAAAGAAAACAGAAGAAATCATTGAGAGGAGAAGAACACCAAAGTAAAAAACATCAACTACAATACAACAAGAAACGTGAACACAAGAGTAAAAATACAAAGTGTATAAGAAGTGATACTAACACCAGAAACTAAATATAATCGTATTGGTGTGTGTTTTTCAGTAGTAGAAAGTAACTAAGTACATCTACTCAAGTGTACTTAATTGCAATTTTGAGGTACTTGTACTTCCATAATATGCTATTTTATACTTCTAATCCATCTCATAGTACTTTTTACTGCACCACATTTATTTCACAGCTAAAGTTCCTTTGTTTTTACAAACAGAACATATGATCGACTTATTAAATATAATGCATTGTTACAGATAAAAACATACTTTTGCTACTTTAAGTACATCTTACCAGTAATACTTTTACTCAAGTAGAATAGTGAATGCAGGACTTGGTAACAGAGTATTTTCACAGTGTGTTACTAAGTGTGTGTACTTCTTTTGGTATATTTTTCAGCATCTTAACTGCCAAATCCGGTGTTTAGCGTAGCTTAGCACAAAGACTGGAAGCGGGGGGAAACTGCTAGCGTGTTTCTGATACATGTCTTGTACATCGAACAGAAGAGGTGTAAAAAGAGCTCCGACTATCAGACGACATGACGGAGAGTGTCAGCCTCTCAGAGGACATGATGTGTCCGTCGATGCCCCCCTCCCCCCCAACATACCAAATATCACATGACATGAACACCACCTAAAGAGGTTAGTGTTTCGTAAACGGGCATATCAGGAATGCGCTCGTCAAGCTCCCAAAATACTGGAAAGTGTCTGGAATCCTCCGACAGACGGCTGTGTTTTCATAGAGAGACGTGAGACCAGATTTAGACCGTTATGTTAGAAATGTGTCGGCATAATATGGCCTCTGGAACTCTATTTCTACTGAAACGAGTGCGTAGAAGCAGGTCGTTTCAACACTGGGAAACCTGAAGGCTACAGACGTCCTTCATGTTGCCAGTAGACGAGTGTGTCTTCATGTTTTTATGTTTTGTGTAGTTTGAATGAAGTGCGTCTCAATTATCAGCACGAGTTCTGTCAACGGATTCCGGTGGCTTTGAGGAGAGTTTATTAACTGCATGTTTTCCGCGTTTATAAATTTAAAATGTTCTATTTTGTCGATTATATATTCACTTTAACCAGCATCACATTGTCCCCTTTTCTACCTTTATCAATGTATTTGTCATCAACACTAAATATCCAGTTAATTACACAATATACTGCTATTTTATGCACAATTACTTTATTAATGTACATAAATGTACACTGTCAATATAAATCCTACAGACATAATCCTCCAGTCCATCTATTCAGTATTTGTTTGTTTACAACTTACAGAACACTTGACTTGTATATAAACGTTTTTATTCTTATTGTATTGTTTATTGGTTCTTTATATATAACATTTGTGATTACACCTCTCTTGAGTCTTTTCTTTACCTTTAAATGTCCACATTTGTTGTGCTTGTTATTTCTATTGCTCACACTTAGCCATTAAAGCTGATTGTGATTATAATGGTTGGTTATATTAAAGTATATTTACTACAGAGATCGTAGCACCTTTAAATATGAAGCAGTCCAGTTCAACATTGCTGACGATCACAACTTCAAACATGTAGTTGAATTAAAACCTCTCAGACATTATTATCATTAGGTTTAACAGGTGTACCTAATAAAGTGGCCACCGGCTGTTTATCTTAACTGAAATGAAGCAAACCGGCCTCAGATCCCCTTATGGACCAGACTGACCCGGTCTACGGAGGATGAAGGTTCTAACAGCCTGATAATCCTCCACGTCTACGCCTCACTTCCTTGTTCCTTCGACCACAACGTGACGACACAGCGAAGGGTTAAAGATCTGATTAGTGTCGTACTTTAAACCGTTCTTATCGGCTTCTGCCTCACAATCACAACCCGACACAAAACAACAACACTTCAAAGAAAAACAACTTCATTCTCAGTTCTTAACCTGCGTTCCAACGCTAACGGTTGTGATATATATATTAAATATATGAGATTTATGCTGCAATTTACACTCATTTAAATATCGGTTCATTTGTTCAAATGCAGAGCAGAAAGTGAGTTAATCAGTTTACTGTTAAATATGACCGAGAGGCCGCAAATCCTCACATCTGAGATGCAGTTTTTCACCATTTCTAAATGAAAATATTATTTAAAAATGTGTTAATTATTTCCTACTTCAAAGAACTCTCAACACGTTTGAACACTGCCTCTAAAAATTCTATTTAACTGAATTTAAAATGAATTTCAAGCACAATTTGGCTCCTCATCAGGTACATATTTATTACCATATAATCTAGTATTTTGGAGCATTTATGCATCAGGTCAAACTCTTTTCTTTCTTTTGAATGTTAAAATAAACACACTGCATGAACGAAGCCAACGTCGGTCTAACCACCGTTAAACTTGGCCTTTAAAATATTAAATATTAAATCTTAAATGCATATTGAGACACACAAACATCAGCCATACATAAACAAAGACAACATACACAAATAGACCACAACAAACTAATAATAAAACACGTTCCATCACGTCTTTGTGGTTGGATATTTGTCCCGCCTCTCCTCCACTGTGATTGGACGGCTGAGAATTTATTTTTAACTCTCGGCGACCAGAAACAAACAAACAAACAAACGTCAAACAATAAAGATGAGTATTAGTTCAAAAATTGTATTATTATTTCAAGAATGACGTCTTCAAATAGCTTGTTTTTGTACGACCACAACTGTCCAAAACAAAACGATATTCAGTTTGTTTTCATAAAACTCTATGGGAACTAGAAATGTTTAAAAATATGGAAAATTAGAAACAAAAGAAAGTCAGGTAAGACGTGTTTGGCATTTTAATATCCGCTCACAAGGAGCTGGATAAATATAGTAAATAACATTTGTGTTCTGGGAAGGATTACTTCTTCAGAAAATAGATAAAAAAAGAGTTTTCTCTTAAAAACGGATTAAATTGACTAATCGATGAACCAAACGACGGATGAAGATTTAAGACCTCTGACGACTACAGAACCGTCTTCACCTGCTGCTCGTGTGCACAAACACACCTGAACCTGAATGAATGTAAAACCCTCACAGGCCACCGTCCAGCTCTCTGCTCTCTAATCTCTAATCTCACATTAATCCCGCTAATGAGCTGGAACACCGTGACGCATCAAACTGCTGCATCAGCACAAAACAACACGAGCTGTAATCTGACCGACGATCAATACGTCTATACAGTATATATATTATATTAGTAATTACTACGTCTATACAGTATATATATTATAGTAGTTATTAATACGTCTGTATGTTTTTTAGCTCTAAACGTGACACGGAAACACATTTAAACTGCTGTTATCAAACAATCAGCTGATGTGTTTGCAGATAAAAAAGTTGTATTCTCTCCATTGTTATGTATATTTAACCTCCTTAAAATATTCATATTTTGGTTGTATTATCATTATTATATCATCACCGACTTATCTTATGTTTTGTAGGAATACCAAACAAACTAATATTGTATTTATTATAATAAAGCACAGACGAGATCAGCCTGAAAAACCTCCAGTATTGCTGGATTGAAACCGGCTGTGCAGTATTTTAACGACACTGTACTCTGTACTACTGTACTCTGTACTACTGTACAGTACATGCTGATAAAGTACCAGGAATCCGTGCTGCAGAGAGCACGTTGCAGTATCCCCCCCGACAGTTGCACGCCAGCAGAGTGGAAACGCGGCGTGCTGAATGTGAACTCGACACCGAGCTGGGAATGCCAGAGCGCCCGGAGAGCTCGCCCGGCATGCTGCTCGACAGGACGGGCGGGTAAGAAAAAAAAATATGCAGCAACGTGACCGCACACACACGCAGCGGGGTCACAAACTCACCGAAAGAAATGAACTACAGAGTCTAGAAAGTCAAAGCTTCATGTGTTAAAGCTGCATTCCCTCTAGTGACCACCAGGGGATGACTCCTCTGGTTGTATAGAAGTCTATGAGAAAATGACTCTACTTCTCTCTTGATTTATTACCTCAGTAAACATTGTAAACATGAGTTTATGGTCTCAATCTCTAGTTTCAAGTCTTCTTCAATACAGCATGATGTTCATTTAGTACATTATGGTCCATTTAGAGTCAAACAGACCATAAAGCAGGGGATGCTTTAGGGCGGGGCTACACGGTGATTGACAGGTCTCTACCAGAGACGTATACGGCGTCTCTACGTCACTCCTCCTCAGTCCAGATATGTTCACTTCCTGTTCACTGGTTGCAAAAAACCAAGATGGCGACGGCCAAATAACCAAACTGAAGGCTTCAAAACATCCACAAACCACATCTACTAAACTGAAACTACAGATGCACCGATTGCAAAAACTAAATTTTAGTCTGACCTGCGGATTCTGATTTTAGCAGATTAAGATTTTCTTTCTACAAACTATAATTAACAGCAAGGTTTCAAACTAACTTCTTCTTTAACCACTGCAAGAAAACATGTTTCAACTGTCGTGAAATCAGCGTAAACTGTCAAAAATGCCTCGATGTTATCCTTCTACTTTATCGTCACAGTATATATATATATATATATTATATTGTATAGTATATTTATATTATTTATTATCATATATACATATATTATTTATACTAAAAGTATATTATATATATGTAATATTCATATTATATTATTATATATTTATTGTAGTAGCTTGACAAACACATTAGGCCATACATTAGTAGTCATGCTTATGATAGTTTAAATGTTATAATGTTTATTTGGTTACAGACAGTTGATAGCGATTAGAGACAGATTGATTGATATATATATATATTATTATGTTATATAAATATAATAAAAGCAGTATGCTGACTTTAAAAAACAGAAAACAACTGACTGAACTGAAGCTTGAAGCTGTGTCTGTGGAGCTGGAGGCCAGAAATCACCCAGAAACCAACAACACACGCTGAACAACCACCAAATATCACCAGAAACCATCTCTTTACGCACAAAAACAGCTAGAAAACATCGATGGCTATTCTACAGCCAACAAACAGTTATAATACAGTTATTAAGGCGTTATAAACCGAAAACAATAAACACACACACGGTGTAAAACCTGTTTCTACTGTTGTAGCTGTCACTTCTATAAATAAACCCGACAGACGTTTGGAGCTAATTCCACATGATCATTAACAGCTTCTCCTCTGAGCCATTAGACACTAAAAGACAAGATTAAAGATGATTTAGTGAGCAGATAAAGAAAGGCTGTTTCCTATACTGTTAGCTAGTGTTTTGCTTTAATCCGTCTTCAGTTAATACGTTTAAATTAACGCTAGGTTAAATGAGAACCGGAGGAGGAGATCAGCGGTGTGTCCTCGCTACACTGGTCGCGCTCAGACGCCCTCAGGCCGGCTACAGAGGCTGTGCTCACCCGTTGGGAGGACCGATGTTCCGGGCTTCTTGGTTAACATGGCGGCCGCTCCTCTCCTCTGGACACAGACGGACGGGGACCGGACGCCTCCTCTTAAGCTCCTCCTTTTCCTCCTCCCTAGTCCTCCTCTTCCTCCTCTTCTTCTTCTTCTTGTAGTTTATTGGCGGACTACAAACCAACGTCCAAGGTGCATACCGCCACCTACTGGAGCGGAGTGTGTACCATCATGTCTTTATGACATAATTTAAACACAATAATAATGTGATGTATGCGTCATTGAGTCCTGTATGTACTAACCTTCATCTACTGAAAGTAGCACCCTCTTTTCTACTTTTACTTCTACCACTTCTCACTCTGACACGTCTGAATTTTGTTATCATTTCTACCTTAGACGTCTATACAACTAGAGGAGTCGCCCCCTGGTGGACATCAGAGAGAATGCAGCTTTAAGAATAAACTTCATTCTGCAGAACCGGAGGTTGCCGCCTGGTGCACATTTGTAATACTTTTTTTATATTACAATTCTGCCCAGATCGTCCACATTGCACTTATTAAAGCCATTTTCAGCAACAGTAACGTATTAGCACCATTAGCATCTGTAGCACTAAGTAGTCAAAGGCTTTGTCAATATTAACATTAATCGAGCTGCAGGAAACAAAGGCAACAATACTGATTCTCCTCACTACATTACCAATAACACCAGTGATACTCACCACCGTGTGCCGTTTGAACCACAGAGACAATGATGCTCAAGGTGTTCTTCATCTCCAGTGTTTCCCGTATGAGGACATCATCACTCACACAAACTGTGTGATTGTTTATTTGGCTGCTTGGAGACCAACAGTGTGTTTACATCAGAGACAAGAGAGCGGTCTCAGTGTAAAGCGTGGTCTCAGGTTTCACAGCTTTTAGTTAAACTACAAAGAGACTTATGTAACACGTACACATTCAGGACAGCAGAAATAAATACAGAATGAAGCACAGAACATGACCTCACCTTCTGGTTAGGTAATAAAACAGGATGGTTTACTGAGAGATTTGAGATGGTTTTACTCGGCAAAGTTACCCAGAAAACCATGCATGGACCACCAAAAATGGGCCAATTAGGCACAAGGACTCAATGAAGCAGTAAAAAAAAAATAATAAAACTTGCACTACACGCTTGCATGGATGGTTTCCAATAATATTTGCCATCTCCATTGTTTACTAAATGATAGAAAACTGGTTTGTTAATGAAGTAAAAGGTTGGAAACCAATGAACTATAGGTGACCAACCCCTTACATGCATGTAGGGATTTATTTTATGTTCTGACTGATATTGAATGCATCAATCTTTTTTTATTCAGCAATTAACTGTCCTGTAAATGACAAACAAAGAGCATGAAAACAAGTGGCGGATACTTGTCAGGATAAGATGACGTAGATCAGGCTTTTCGGTTCCACGAAGCAAGTTTGGCAAAATCACCATGGCAACACATCCATAAGCTTGAAGCTGCTCCAGCGCAGGCTAACTGAAGGTAGCTGGATAAGCTGCCACTCCCCCGGAAACAATGGCAGCTCCCTCCCAGCCATTGATCTCAATGGCTCCCTGCCATTGAGATCCACTGATGAAGGAGGATATTAGTTAGATTAGCGTTTTATAGGGAGAGAGTTCTTCCACATCGCCAAGATCCGTTATCACATCACGATGACTTCCTATACGAGCGCTATCCATTCTGCCCACAAGGAATCATTTATTTACAGACCTTCTGGAGCATACATTGAACACCACACGCTGCAGCCGAGCATTGATGTCTCACACACTGGATGCAGCCTTGAGCTGTTCTGCGAGTGGTACATTGTTGTACAGTGTCGGCCATGAGGAGAACATGGGGAAAGCCGCTGCATGCCGTGCTGTTGGTAAAGTTTATTAGGCGCTTAATAAACTTATGGATGTGTTCATTACATCACCATGGCACATATTGTACTGACTCAGCAGTCTGAGTAATGTGTGTGTGTGTGTGTTAGTGTTTACTTGCTCCCATGTCCTCTTGATGGCTGCGTTGCATACATGAGATTTAAAGCACTCATAAAATATAAAACAGGCAGAAAAATAGGGACTTTTTAAACTGTGGTATTTTAGATGAATGATTAATATTAATTTAATGGAGGAATTAAAAAGTGATAAAATACTGTAATTTAGACTAAACTAGACTGCCATCTAGCGGTTTGGATGCGCTAAAACCAATTAGTTATTTTCTTTATTGTGAAAAACAAAGCTGACCGGAAGTCGGTAAGCTTGTCAAGTTTCAAGATGGCGGCGGGACGAGGGGCGTTTTTACCGAGTTACCTGGAGGGTCTGAGGAGGAACCCCAACACGAACTGCGGCCAAACGGCTCCGGCGAGACCACTAACGTTTCGCAAACCGGGTCCGGGCGAAAGAGAGCCCGGGCCGGGTGGTAACAGTCAAACGGACGGAAAGAGGGGGAAGAACCAGCCAACGGCAGCGCCATGTTCGTTTAGCGTGAACGGTTGCAGGTGACAGCAAACAATTAAGTACAAATTTACAAATCTTTGAATAATTACATTATTTTATTGATCTTAATCCTTTATTTTTTGTGTGTGTGTATTTTTAACCCAGATGGCCAGAAACCAGAATAAATGAATATAAAGCAGATTTCCCCCAAATGGTAACTCAATCTGAAGATAACTTAATGGAAAGGTAAGATACGTTTATTTATATATTTAAATAACAGCTAAATATGAACATTAATACTTCACTTTATCTTTACACAGTACATAGGTGAATATACCTTTGCTTTCATATATATTCACCTATAAATACAATGATACATGGGTGAATATATGTTAAAGTTAATGTAACATTTATTCAAATGAAGTAAAACACGCTAAGGCTCAATTTAAATAAATATAATGTAAGTTGAGTAAAAAACATGAAAGTGAAGTTTTACTTTTGTGAATTGTACATTTATTGATGTAAAACTTTGCAGAAATATGAAATTAATTAGATGTAGAATATTATTTTTCATATATTGTTGTGAACCTTAATATAAGTTTTTATATTAAATAAAGTGGAGCTAACCGGGTAACATCGATGAATGATTTTAAAGACAACTTTAACCTTTTTGCCCAAAAATAAACATTTTTTTCAAGATTTACAGTCTGAATGTAAAGTTCTACTGATGATGGTTCTCCTCCAGTATTCAGTAGAACATGTGTTTCTAGTGTCTGGTCTCTGATCATGTTTCATTGTAAACAACCAGTCAGCTAGTAACGTTAGCAGCACCGCTAACGGCTAACCAACAGGAGG